GGTCAATGTCATGAGACAAAGTATATGTAAACTGCTATATGGAAAGTGAATTTGCTCTGTAAATCTTCACCCAAATCACAATAATTAAAAAAAAAAGAAGAAAGAGATTGAAGTGTTCAGTTTTGTCTTGGTGAGGCTATACACAGACTATAGGAGATTTCTAAATAGAATCTAATTTTGGCTAAAAACCTAGGATTTCAAAGCCCACATTGTGAATATTTATTCAGCACTGACCAAGTTCCACCTTTGCTCAACTAGGAGTACCGAGCAAACAAACAGTACCTGTTAATGCAGAAACTTATATTATTAGGGATAAAAATATATAGATATATAATCTTTATATCTATATATCTATAGAAAAAATAAGCAGAATGTAATGGAAAGGTAGATTATATTTCAGGTTTCATGTGCTAGAGAATTAGGAAAACTTGGAAAGTCAAAAAATGGCTAGAATAATCCCTTTATGCATTGTATTCATTTGTACTGAGCATCTCTATGAAAAGCTACCATAGACTGAGCAAGTGCCAGGTTCTGTGCTAAAGACTTTACATGTATTAGTTCAGTTAATGCTCATTAAACACAAGGCAGATCTCATTATCTCCAAGTCACTGGTAAGTAATCTTCAGTATAGAGTCTAAATATGCTTCCAGATCTTACAGCCCGAAACAGCAAATCAGGATTCAGATCATATTCTCTGACTGGTGCTTCTAATCATTACTTTAAATTGCCTACCCTGAGACAACTATATGCAAAAATTCTGTGATGAGTAATAAAGTGGATACTGAACTGAAAATTCAGCTCTTTTACCTAAGAACTTAATTTCTAATTGGGGGAAAAGAGAGCTAAACTAATAACCCTGTTACAAATTATGATAATTATGATATTAATAACAATAACAACAACCATTGGTACTTGGCTCCCTTACTATGTGGCAGGCGCTGTTCCGAGAACTTTACATAGATCAACTTATTTAATCATTTAAATATTTTAATCATTAAATCATTAAAATATCCCTGTGAGATGGAAATTCCCATTCCCATTTTACAGATGAAGAGAATAAAACAGAGTCTCATAACTGCTAAGTGAGAGAGTGCTTGCTGTTAACCATTATGTGATATTACCTTTCATTACCTAACAATACGACATGTGCCCTAATGAGAGCAAACTGCATTGAAGGTTAGGAATGAAGAGACTGAATTTAGTGGTGAAAGTGGATCATTAAGGCTGTTGTGGTCATGGAAGGGAAAAATTTGAAAAATTTAAAGAACTAGTATGAAAAGTACAGCATAGCATTTTATGTGAATTAGATAACTCAGGGTTTGTTTGGATACCAGGAAAAGGGTTGGTGGCTGAGTGTTATTGGCTGAGAGACAGATATTTCACAAGGGGAAAGCATAGCATA